GCCCTTAGCAAAGGAATTCTGAACAGTTTCTTTCCCTACCTCACCCTTCTCAGTCTCTGCCCCTACTTTTTGTTTTTATTCTTATTTTATTATTTTTGTTTTTTTATTTTAGCCATACTATAAAAATTCAAAAGGTTAGTTTGATTGTAATTATAATACAGCCTTTTGAAGCCCTATATAATACTCTAGAATATAGCATTCTTCCCTTTTGGGTTATTAACTGCATCTTAATGTGACTTCTACCTTGTTTTTTAAAATCTTTTTCTTAATTTTATGTTGATATTAAATTATATTTTCCCATATCTCTTGGAAATAAAATGTTAGCCAAAAATAAAATTCATTTTTAACACTTGTTATTTGTAAAAATGTATTCACTGTGTCTCTTCCAGTAGTCTTTGAGGTTTTGTGGTACATATGATTTAGGGTACATTTAGTAAGTTGAAGGGTTAAAACACCCTACGCTGTCGCATATGGCAGTGAGCAGAATCGCAGATGTTGATGATACCACATAATTAGTATTCTTTTATGTAAATGAAGGCTGTCAGCATGTTACCATAGTGTCTAGTCTCTCTGAAGCTGGAATTTATGCCACTTGGTCTCACCAAGACCAGGCAGGATTATTCCACCGTCCTTAGTTAAGATCTGAGAAGAAATCAATACAATGAGGGAGAGAAAAGAAATGGAAATCTCTCCAAAAGAGATTCTCTTAATTTTTTTCCTATTCTGTTTTTGTTGATTTCCCCCCAAGAAATTTTATTTCTGGTGATGCAGTTATGCACTTAGGATCAGCTAAGAAATTTGCTATTTGAGAATAATTGGAATAGTCCAGTTAAAAGACAAATCATGTTTCAAACTATAGGTTTTGGAAAGATGATTGTAATGTTCAGTCATCTCTCTCATACAAAGACTTTTTCAAAAATGATGTGATAAATCTAGAAGTTTCTCATCAAACCAAAAGGCCAGAATTCAAAAGATTTCATTACCTTCTTTTAATTTAATATTTAATGATATTAACTATAGTAGAATGCTTTTAAATATTGATTATGGTTTTTAGCTCCAGTTGTTTCAGATTTTTAAAATAAAACTATGGTAATTAAAGAAGCAAAAGCTAATATTCTGTCAGGTTTACTTTCCCTGCCTGCAGGTCTATCCAGGGCGTGCAGGACATTTATTTCAAGTTGCTGATCTACTTAATCATGGAGAACTGTTAAGGCACATCATGTTCTTTCCCAGTTACACTGCAAGTTTATCTCTTTTGGATTATTGGGTGCCTGTCACACTGGATGATGTATGTTTTAAATGGAAATTTTAGGACTATTATGACTTTGGGGAATTATGAAGGAAAAGATGTAAATCTCAGAAAAATGTAAAATAGAGTTCCTCTTTATGCCTGTGAGTGTTAGGCCTTGTTCTTAAATAAAATGGTCAGAATATGTATGAGAGGTGAGTTGAACACATCTTCCTTGAACTGAATGTACCTGAGATTGTGTTCTCTTTATTCTCTATTTTATGTGTTGGTTAAGATGGCTTTTTTCTTCTGTGTCACTTTTGGGTGATTTCCATTTCACGATCAGATATGTTTTTCTGCTAGAGAAGCTAGTCTGCCTAGCTTAACTCAGTGTGGTGAGGTACAGAGTAGCCTGTATTTTCCTGAATGGATTTACTCTGCCATATGGCAGGTTAGTGAGTCACCACCACAGATTTGTAATGGGAAAAGGGTTGTGCAGGAAAGGATGTGCGTGATCAGCAGATTTATAGATCAGAAAATGAAATCGGAAGAGAGAATTTCCAGAGTGCCCTTTCTATTTGACAGCTCTCCATGGAGAGTGTGTGAAATGGTTTTTTAGTGTTTTTCTATTTTGGCTTTTGGTTGTTCCAGCATATGTTTTCTAGCACAGGAATTGATTTTGTAAGGCATCAGTGTTCTGGGTGTTCTGTTGCTGTATTCCTGTTCACAGAAATATTCTCTCTTTGTAGGATTTGAAGCTGTGCTATGTTCATGTGATAAGATCTCACTGGCAATTAAATTCCTGAAGACACATCAAGGCTCCTATTGGCTAAAATGGGGATTTGCCAGGTTTTGAGTTATAAGAGGCTATTCAGATATGATTCAGTGAGTACTGAATCTTTCAAAGGAAAGAAAACCAAAAGAAAAACCAAATGAGCTAAAGATAGTGTGTCCTGGTGTGTTTATTTAAGTCTGTGCTATCTAATACTGCAGCCACTAGCCACATGTGGCGATTTAAATTCATTAAAACTAAATAAACTTAAAAGTTCAGTCCCTCAGTCTCACTGGCCACATTTCAGGTACTCACTAGGCACATGTGGCTAGTTAGAACAATATTGGACAGCACAGATAAAGAATATTTCCATCATTGCAGAAAGTTCTGTTGGACAGTGTTGGTCTAAGCGGAAGATTTGAGAAATAAAATTCTTTCTTTGATTTCTGTGAGGAGTTCTTCACCCCTGTATAACCTACTGGATTTGTGGAGTGGTTCTAAAGTTTTAATGTACAAATGAATCATCTGTAGAACTTGTTTAAAATGGAGATTTTAGACCCCTCCCCAGACTCTGATTCATCAGGTTTAGAGTGGTGACCAGAAATTTGTATATATATAACAAGTATTCTAGGGAATTCTGATGTTGGTAGGTGGTTCAGGAGCTACATTTTGAAAAATATTAAATTAATGAGAAACTTCGGGATTGCCCATCTCTTGATTTTTTTCCCCCCTTCATTCTTTCATTACTGACTTTCTTTTGTGTCACCAGTAATTGATTGTAAAGCATCATGTGTACCCAACTTGAACTCTTGATTGGTAATAAATAGCAAAAAGAAAATTCATTTATTTACCATTTCATCTTTTTAATGTATGCATGTTTTAATTTGGCTGTGCCCTACGAAAAGTAAACAGAAATGGTTATTTCACTACCATTCCAGACTGTGTGGGAAGGTAATTCTGACAGAACACCTTTGACTACTAAGAGTTGAGAACCCACAAGTCTTGAAATTAAAGGCGCAAAAAAAAAAAGAAATATAACATATACTCTCCTCTCTGAAGGAGATACATATCTAATTAGGAAATAGATAAAATCATCCAGAGAAATGACTTAAAGGGCACTTAACAACATGTCAATAATTAGAAAAATAATATAGTAGAAACTAGATCTTGACAGTACTCAAAGGAAAAGCATGATCTACTTGATTGAAGAAAATCTAAATTGCTTTCCTTTGTATGATTTGAAGGTTTCTTATATAGGGACATGGCCTCTGCATCTGGAATGGGCAATAAAAATTGGGAAGGATGTCTCATTTGGTCCTGTGGTATATTTGTGGGTTTTGGCAATAGGACCAAGCCATAAAAGGCATTTGGAAAACCATACTAAAGGGACTACTCGGAGTGCATTGGATTTAGGATTTCTCTGGGTTACCCCATGATCATGGAACTGCATTTACTCACAAAAATCAAAGTGCAGAAGAAATGGAGGTGAAGGAAGTTCACTTTATAAGAGGAACAACCTTTGGGAATTTCAAATACTGGTACTGAAAAAAAAAAACCTGTCAAGTTTCCAAAGAATAAAAAGTTTTCTTTTAAAATAGTTGTCTACCCTCTTTCCTTGGGAGAAATTGCCCATGAGGCTTCTCTGATGAATAATATTGAAGAAACAATGTTAGGAAGACCAAAAAAAAAAAAAAAAGAAAAGAAAGAAATCTCACTATGTTACCGTTTTAAAAAGTATTTTCACGTATATCATCCCGAAGGTTAGCTTTTTTTCTTTTGTCTTGGTAGTTTGGTTAAATACTGTAATACCAGTAGCCCCTCCACCTCTTGTCCTAAGAGTCAGATCTATCTAATTTTGTACTTACCTTTCAGTAAAGAAGGTAAAAGTTTTCCCACCCTTGCTACAAGATGTAAATGTTCTTTTCAAAAAGACGCATTGTCTTAGTCCCTCAGGGTTGCTATAACAAAAATACCATAGACTGGATAGCTTATAAACAACAAACATTTATTTCTCATAGTTCTGGAAGCTGGGAAGTCCAAGATCATGGCACCAGATTCCATGTCTGGTAAGGACTTCTGGTTCATAGCCATACAGCTGGCTTTTCACTGTGTCCTTACATGGTGAAGGCACTAATCCCATTGAGGGCTCATCCCACGAGGGTCAACCCATTCACGACCTAATCAAAGGCCCAAAGGCCTCCTAATACCACACCCTTAACCTGGGGGTTAATATTTTAGCATATGAATGGGGGACACACAAACATTCAGACCATAGCAGACATATAAAATGTTAGTTAGATTGAGGCTCACAGTCTACTTCCTTAGCCAGGTTCTTTGGACTCAAGACAATAAAAATGATACATTGTACTGCAGAAGACTTTCTCTTTCTTACCTTTACCTTATCCTGTTCTCTTTGCTTTGAAATACATTGAAGCTGACCAAAGATTGCCTTTTTATTTGAGTCTTCATCTGTCCTCCTGGCATTTGAAACACTATCTCTGTCTCCTCTCCTTTCCTCTCCCCTGCCCCTTTCTGCATACAACCAGGATCTTGATCAGTATGAGACATAGAGGCTTTCACTTCCAGGACACCATCAGTTCAGAGATGGTTCAGAATACACTTTCTTTCTTCTGCTGGCCAGTTGGGTGCAATGTGAAATAGGGTAATGACGTTTCCTAAGGAACACAAATAAGCCTAACATATAAACATTAGCTGATATTCAAGAATTAAAACAGGCTAAGAAAAAGTAAAATTCTCAAATTGGTGCTAAGGCCCCCTGTATAGTATTTTACGATTCTTCCTTTTTAAGGAATTTGTCCCTCTGTAATTCTCAGTCTATACCAAATTGGCTTTACTTTTTTTTTTCTAACTTCCTTCCAAAGGAACCAGTTTTGAATTGAAAACTGAGTATTGAGTTGAAAATGCCAGTTGCAAGCCTTTTTCTAGGAAAATATTTTGCTAAAAGGTTTCTCTCTCTCTTTGGGGGCTCTGTCGTGCCAGGTTGAAAGAGTGGAGACTTCCATAAGACATGGATAGATGCAAACATGTAGGGCGGTTGCGGCTCGCCCAGGACCACTCCATCCTGAACCCTCAGAAGTGGTGCTGCAGGGAGTGCACCACCACCGAGTCCGTGTGGGCTTGTCTCAAGTGCTCCCACGTGGCCTGCGGCCGGTACATTGAGGATCACGCCCTTAAACACTTTGAGGAGACTGGACACCCCCTAGCCATGGAGGTCCGGGATCTCTACGTGTTCTGTTACCTGTGCAAGGATTATGTACTCAATGATAACCCGGAGGGTGACCTGAAGCTGCTGAGAAGCTCCCTTTTGGCCGTCAGGGGCCAGAAGCAGGACCTGCCGGTGAGGCGCGGGCGGACGCTGCGGTCCATGGCCTCGGGTGAGGACACGGTCCCGCCGCAGCGCGCCCCTCAGGGACAGCCGCAGATGCTCACGGCTCTGTGGTACCGGCGCCAGCGCCTGCTGGCCAAAACCCTGCGGCTCTGGTTCGAGAAGAGCTCCCGCGGCCAGGCGAAGCTGGAGCAGCGGCGGCAGGAGGAGGCGCTGGAGCGCAAGAAGGAGGAGGCGCGGCAGCGGCGGCGCGAGGTGAAGCGGCGGCTGCTGGAGGAGCTGGCCAGCGCTCCTCCGCGCAAGAGCGCGCGGCTGCTGCTGCACGCGCCC